CACAGTGTTTTTTTTTTTTTTTTAATTATTATATTTTATATCGTTGAATTATTTTCAAAAAAAAAAAAAATTGTTTGAATTTATTTTGAAAACAATTAGTGAATTTAAATTTCAACAAACGATGATTTTACACGTGTTACGTGCGTCGCATTATTTATTATTATTATTATTATTTTTTTCTTTTTTTTTAAGTAAAAATTATAGTTTTTAATTATAAAGTAAAGGGTGAAAAAAAATTATAAAAATTATTTTTTAATGAGAGAAAACATTTGAAAAAAAAAATACTAATAATAATAATATAATAATTTACGATAATGACTGTTATATGTGATTATGTGAAAAAAGTGAATGAAAATTGTTGCAATTTTATTATTTATATATATTATCTATTATATAAATTACGAACTTTGTATATTTTATAATTAATTATTTTATTGTGTTATAAGTTTCAATTTTTTTCTTTTCTTTTCTTTTTTTTTTTTTTTGAAGTTTCTTTTTCGTGAAGTTTTCTCAATGAATTTTGTTTTGTTTGTTATTTTTTTTTTTTATGACAAATAAAACATCAATGAAAAAAAAATACATTTTTAAATAAAATATCGTAAAATATAGGGTATATATATTTTATATATATATATATATTTCTTTTTTATTTATTTTACTATGAAATAAATTGAATATTACGTGTGAGTGAAATAACGTTGCCAAAGGGTCGAAGAAGTGAAGTTGTGTTACTCGTTTCAACGACAAACGAAAATCAAAAGGGGAGGAGTAACAAATTCAAAAGAGAACATCGATCAAAGTTTAATATTTAGTGATTTGATCCTTAAAAAATATTATTTTAAATTATAAAAATTCGACGATCGATAAAACATAAGATTAATGTTAATAAAAACTAAGTTAATAAAAAAAAAAAAAAGTGATAAACGGTGCCAAGAAATTGCTGCGTGTTCTTCACGGAGCAAACGTAAACGGAATGGCGTTTACTTTGATTGTATATAACAAAAAAATAATATTATTTTATTCGAGATGAAATAACATTTCGATTAACGATACATTTTTCTTTTTTCTAAAATATTAATTTTTGTTTAAATAGATCCATATATTTCTCTCTCTCTCTCTATTTTATTTTAACATTTCCAAGAAATATGAACTCATAGAAAAACTTTGATAATAAATTTTAAAAAATACATTTAAAATACAAAATAATATTAGAAATACTAATTTGTTAAATAAAATTGAAGCTTTTCATTGTCCATTTAACGTTGTTTTTTCTTTTTTTTTTTCTTTTATATGATGCAGGTAAATCTATGATTAAAATATTAACAAAAAATGGGATGAAAAATACGCTAATACAATGAACATGGTCAAAACAATTGTTCAAAGACTGATGATCATCGTCAAATCAATTTGGATATTAAATACAACTAGATAATAACTATTAAATTTATTGAATAAATAAATAAATAAATAAATAATGACAGAGATAAAGGAAGAGGGTGCATCACCCAAACTGACGGAAGAAATCTTAAGAGGAATACAATTGTATTATACACCAATATTGGTATACCTGGGTTCATTTGGCAACTGTCTTTCTGTATATGTATTTTTTGGAACAAAGTTACGTCAAAATTCATCGAGCATTTATTTAGGAGCATTGGCCATAAGTGATACAGGATTTTTAATATCACTATTCGTGGTATGGCTGGATATGGTGGATATTGGTATTTTTAACATGCAAGGATTGTGCCAATTTTTCATCTATTTTACAACAGTTTGTAGCTTTTTAAGCGTATGGTTTGTCGTGGCGTTTACAGTAGAAAGATGTATAGCCGTACAATATCCATTTTTACGTCAATCAATGTGTACAGTTGCTAGAGCAAAAAAAGTAGTCACAGGATTGACAATACTTGGTATAATATTGTGCAGTCCAGTATTATTATTTTCAAGTCCACGTTTGAGTATGTCACATAACAAAAATGTAACACGTTGTCTCGTCGCTGAAGGTTTGGAATTATCATCGAGCATTTTTAATTCGATCGATGCGATATTAACTTTTGTCCTACCATTTACATTGATCGTAGTATTGAATATATTTATCGCACGTGGCATCTACAAACTAGCAAAAGTTAGAAGAACATTGACATCCGAATCGAGGAATTCACAGGAACAAGTGTCATGCTCGCAAAGTCCAAGAAATACATTAGCTCAAAGTAAAATCACGAAAATGCTCTTAACCGTATCTACCATTTTTCTTTGTCTCAATCTTCCAGCTTACGGTATCAGAGCTTATGCTTTTCTATATGTAAGTATTTTATTATTGAATCATATTTTGCATTTTTTATTGCTTGATGTATGCATCTCGCGAATCCTTGATTTATTTTTTTTTTTTCCACTTGATATCATTTTTTATTTCCGTAACATTCTAGTGTATCTATATTTATATATACATATATGTGTATGTATATCCGGTTGAAAAGATATTCAATATTTTTTCTTCATTGATTTCAATACTACGATATTTATATTCTATGAATAGTATATTTATATATATATATAGGTATTTTATAAGTAAGGATTATATCAATTTTATTTAATTTTCAGCCAGACAACAATCCACCGCGATTGGTTGAAATGATACAGCCAATATGCAACATGTTGTTTAACACCAATTTTGGAATAAATTTTATTCTTTATTGTGCAACCGGACAAAATTTTCGCAGAGCTATGATTCACATGTTTTCATGTAAATCACGAAGAAATAATGATACTACCGGACAAATTTCTAATCGTAATGGTAAATATATTAATTTTGTTAATAATAAATAAATAAATAAATAAATAAATAAACTATCAATTTCAGGATTAGTTCCTAATAGTAGTTTAATGATTCGTCAACCAACAACTACATTTAATAAATCATTGAAAAGTCATTACGAATTGCAAATATTTTCTAAAGAATTTCAAGAAGATATGGAAAAGGATAAAGACTGAAATAAAACAAATATAATTAAGAGATAACAACAACAACAACAACAACAACAAAATGTACGTACCAGTTTCTGGTTCTGTGGCTGGCAATGGTCCCACGTTACCAAAAAATCTTTGATCTAAGAGCTGAAGAAGTTGAAGAGCTTCATCGTGAACAGGTGCACGAGGACAACCAGTATTCATTAAAGTTACATTAATGATACTAGTATAATGATCACAAGGATATTCCCTATTAACACACGATTACAAATTTGCTTAATATAATATCCTATGATTCAATATTCGCATAATTTGGGAATATATAATTCTCATAAATAGAAACTGTTCTATTATAATTACTATTTAAATGTCATTTGAAATATCTCTCTAATATAATTTCAAAATAATAATTAATAATCGTTCTTCTATTTAAGAAATATTATGCATATATATTTAATATATTTAATATATTTAATATATTTATGTGTGTGAGTGTGTATATTACATGTACGTATTGTATTATATGATATTCTTCTAATTATTGTGTTTAAATTGTATTAAAAATATCTACTTAACGAATACTGTTGAGATCTCTATTAATATTTTGTAATTTAATAAAAAATAAAAACCAACCTTGCACTAAATATTGTTGCTAATGCTAGAAAACAACCATCAGCAACGTGAGGAGCCCCTGTATAACATCTATCAACTACCCAATCAAGAAGTGCACCAATATCAGGATTTCCTTCCAATAATAAAACAACCGTTTCGCGTGCCAGAGCATAAATCTGAAGTACATTTGTAATCAAAACAAAATGATAAGTATCATGTGTGTGAAATATCAAAGGATATTATAAATAATTTAATATAATCTTAAAAGTAACTATACCTTTTCATCCTTACTAGCTAATAATAAATCTAACCATTGGTACAATATTGCACCCTCCTCGGAAAGTGACTGCGGATTGAAACATGGTCCGCAACATAATAAACCACTCATAGCTTGTAATGCAGAAAATTGTAATTCCGTACATGTTTTGTCTTCTTCGTTCAAAGATGATACAGTTGTTAGAGGTCTACCATAGGGTCCAGCCCAACTAGCAAATAGCATAAATAAATTTCGTCTTAAATCCCTCTTCAATAAACTGTGACAGGTTTCCACTAAAAAAAAAAAACAATTGAAAGAAAATATTATAATGGTTTAACAATTTGTGTTCAAACAAATCTAATTATTTTATTACTCACATGAAAAACTTTCTATCATCTTTCTTATGAAATTACAAAAGTGTAACTTTATATCCCTGACCGCGGGTGCTTCTTTGTCAGTTTCATTTTCTAAATAAATACGTGCACCGTCTATGTACTCGACGAATGTTGGATGAAGAGATTGTGTCTCGCGATCTAATACCGCTGGACTGAAAAGATATTTAATCTTATTAATATCAAAAACAAATTCTTATGTGATGATACTTTGAGTATAAAGATAAATATTGTCTAACGTACCAGATTCCAAATGTTCCATATTCAGCGATCAATTCCAAAACTCGAACTAACTGCAATCTGAGTGCATCTCTACGTCTTCTACGTCTCATATTTTCTTGTTTACGATCAACAGCTTCTCGTATATAAGGAACTAATTCTTCCATTAGGTCTCTAAATAATAAAAAAAATAAATCAATATTTGAAACGTTTTATATGAAAGCGGAATTATAAATGAAATACTCACTTCAAAGCATCGGCATTGACTTTACCGATGGCTTGCACAGCTGCATCTCTAACATCAATAGCCTCGCATCTCAAAAGAGGCACCGTTAATTTGTACAGAGCCGCAGGGCTCGCGTTAGTTCCAGGCGACTTGTTATCACCTCTTTCAGCAGAAAGACTATCCGGCGATGAGCTGTGAGAATGATCTTATTATAATTGTTTCTTTGGATCAATAAATCAATTGATCATTTATACACATACAAACAAATGTACTGATGATATGAAACGAACGAATGGGGATTTAACGCGATTAACGATAACTGCGATCGGAAATGGTCATCTGACTAGGTACGGACAGTGCTTATGTCGCGAGCAAGTATAGTGATTAACTGGTTTAAGTAGGATCCTGCTTGAAGCTGAAACTCTTATATAAATCTTACGGATATTGTGCCTTATAAGTAAATAATCTTGATTAAAATGGTGGTGCAAATTGCCAATGACCGTTTAATTCTGAGTGACATCTAAAAATGGTCGTTTACAGCTGATTCAAATTAGGGCTCACCTGGTCCGCTTATGCCTGATGTAGATGCCGGAAATGGAAGGAACGGAGAACCGGCCCGGCAGGGTCTGCACCCCGCCGAGGTTCTCCAGGCTCTGACTCAACTCCTTACTCATGCACAACACACCAAACTCCACCGTATGCTGACCACTAGAGTATGCAATACAGTGTACCACCAATGCTCCTTGTATCAAATGTTATTTACTGCTCAGAAACTACTATTCTAAGTCCCAGAAGTGTACATACATGTATGAAACAATAACAGATAACATGCAAAGTGTAACTTTGTTGCAGAAAAAATAAAGCAATGTGCGCATGTAAGAATATAATGTATTTATGCAAAAAATTTGAACCCTTCTTCTTCCCGAATGCAAGCGCGCACATTGGTACAAATTGGTGCTAGTTTTGATAAAGAAAGTTAATTTTTTGCTACCTGGTGCTTTAACAGGATTTCAGTGAACGTGCATGTCATCATTAGCATGTTATAATTCAAGAAAATACCTTCTTCGAGTTTATTTTAAGTTGCAACGGAGACAAAAAAAAAAGTTAGGATTGATATACGTGCCAGAAGAAGAGAAAGGTGGCTAATCGACAATGTGATATAATCTTGACAAGAGAAATATAATCAAAAGTATAAAGAAGATAGAATTAATGAAGATAATAATTTCCATTTCACAACAGACATAAGCAGACATTATTATCCAACACCAATTGATACCAATTAATAATAATAATAATAATTTTCAATTGATATTTCTTCTTTTAATAACTACACATAAAAGCAAAGTTGTAAACAACCGTATACCGTAAAGACCGTACAATTTCAATCTGAATATCATTATTAATTTATACTAATTAATCATCTAAATATTATTTGTCATATTATCGAATAAAAAATCTACATATATATATTAATACTTAATAATAATTATATAAACCTAACCATCATAAATATATATATATATATAATCACCCCAACTTTTTCATCAACATAAATAAAATATATGCAACATTATCATATGATATAATAAAGTATATTATAAAGTGCTTGAATAAAATATAAATACATTAATTTACCTGAGACTTAAATCTGGACTGGCACACCGAACAACAGGACTTGGAACAGGTGGTACAACTCTATATCCAAATGTCAAGTAATTTTTCCAAACGTGCATATAAACATCTCTCTCGTTTACTGGCTTTCGTACTGCAGTAGAACTTCGTAAAAGAGAAGCTCTGTTATCATTGACAGGTCTAAAAACAAACAAGAAAAAACAAAATTAAATGACAAAATTGTTATTTGTCAATTAAAATATGATAATAATATGATTCAACTCACGTAGGATCGACTACAGAAAATAAAGAATTTATTCTTGTAAAAACAATAGGCCAAGAATGAGCAACAGCATTGGAACATTGACTGAGTACTCTGTCCTTTTCCAAAAATGCAAACAAACAGGTTCCCCACGGATCAGCTCCATTTAAATTCAAAGAAGATGAACTTTTTGTGCTGTTTTCATCATGGAATCCTATAATTTCATATGACATTAAATATTCTATTAAATTCAAATAAAATGTAATCAGTTGCATACCTGCTGTCCATACACAACTACTTCTATCAGCTATCCATTGAAGATCAATATTAAATGTAGATGCAGCGGCTGCTTTCTCTGCTGGTGGCAACATATGATAACATTTTTCTAATACAGTTGGACAACAAGCATCTATCACATCAATAACAGGTTGATCATCGTCAGAAGTTCCTAGAATTACAACAAACAAGAAATTCTACCTTTTGTTTTCATTCATATGTTTCACTGAGGATAAACATTTATTTTGTTTTTACCTAATATTTTTAATAAAAATTTTAATTCCCGAAGTATATGTACAGCTAATCGTCGAGGATAAAGTCGGCAATTACAAAGCATTACCAATGCAAATCCTTCTACCAAATGAAATACGCACGATACTGGTTCTACTTTCTAAAAATAAATAACATTAATAAACTTTCATTTAAATTTCTTAATTATAAAATATATTACACAATTTGTACCTGTCCGGATTCACTTCTTTTTATAGTCGTATCTACGATCGGCCGTATATTCGATCTTGTATTGTCAACTGTTTGTTCTTTCAATCTAATATTAGGACTAATTAATGCATTTTTCCAACTTGTAAGTAGTTGTAATAACATTCTTAAGCCATTATCAACGAGTTGAGGAAAAGTATCTTGAACATCTCTGGCAAGAAATTGTGTGAACCCTAGAACAACATCTTGTCTCCAATCGGGAAAATCCAATGCTAGTGTTTGTAAACTTTGATATGCTAATCCACGAAGTTCTTCATCCATATGTACGGTTAAACGTGATAACAAATCAACTAGCTCTGCTCCAGTCATTCCATCAGGTATCAAACGAGGCACTGCAGCGACACACGTACGGAAAAGATCTATTCTAGGCTTACGTTCACCCGTAATCATTTCGTCAGGTTCTTTATTCATATTCTGAGTACTTGTCATCATTAATGGACGACCATAATGAACATCTAATGCTCGTAAAATATCAACGAACACTCTGCGAACGTGTGGAAAATAAGAGGACATTCCAATACTCCTAGCTGTGTCTTCTGTTAACATCTGAAATTTATGAACAATCGTGTAAATATTTTATGTAAAATTATATCAATGAATTATGATATATTTAATATGATATTTACTTTGTTTAGAAAAGTCTTTTTTACACGAACTGTATTCCCACTAGGTAATACACCCATAGTTCTTGGCATAGGTGGTTCTCCTTCCTTTTGTTGAAGACTATCCGCTACTACTAAAAATGCTCGTAACCCGATACTCATTCTTTCAGGT